TAAATCTGAAGTTAAAATTTTTATTGATTTGTTTTTTATCTCGCCTTTAAAATTAAGGGTGGGAAAATAAAGGAACGTTGCCCTAAATTAATTAATTTAGTTTAATTAAAAGAGGGAATTAATGGAAAATCCCTGCTCAGGGAATTCAGATCAGGGATGTGGTTTTTTTTCCCCAACCATCCCATTTTTTTTGCCAGGGAAAATTCGAGTTCATCCACGACGTCGCCTCCCTGAGGGATTTCCGGAGCGAGCCCGAAATCCAGAGGTTCAAGAACGAGAGCCTGGGAATGGCTGTGCTGCACCTCTCCCACATGGCCCTGAAAAAGGGCATTTCCCTGGAGGAAGTGGCCCGGAAGTACAGGTGACTGGGAATTCCTGCTTTCCCCCTCCTCTTCCCACCCTTTCCCCTCCTTGTTTTCCTCACTGGAAGAGCCCCCAGGGTTGGTTTCCCTGGAAATTGGGATGCCCAGAGAGCCCCAGGAAAAGCCTGTGGAGAATCTGGTGTGGGGTGGATTGGGATGGGAATGGACTGGAATGTTGGGTGGGATTGGGATGGGAATGGGCTGGAATGTTGTCTGAGTTTGGGATGGGAATGGCCTGGAATGCTGCCTGGGATTGGGATGGGAATGGGCTGGAATGTTGTGTGGGATTGGGATGGGAATGGACTGGAATGTTGGGTGGGATTGGGATGGGAATGGGCTGGAATGTTGGGTGGGGTTGGGATGGGAATGGACTGGAATGCTGGGTGGGATTGGGATGGGAATGGGCTGGAATGCTGGGTGGGATTGGGATGGGAATGGACTGGAATGCTGGGTGGGATTGGGACAGGAATGGGCTGGAATGCTGCCTGGGATTGGGACGGGAGCACCGGGAACCGTTCCGGACCACCCGGGACGAGGTGGCGAAGCCGATCCCGAGCTCCCCCCGAGCCGTCACTCCCCGTTTCCCCCCCCGGCAGCTTCCGGGACTGCCTCCCGCGCTCCTTCCAGCGGCAGATCCAGCAGAACAGCCTCCTGACGCGCCTCCGGATGCGCAGCGTCTTCCGGCGCTTCCTGCGGCGCTTCCAGCGGCACACGGTGGGCGCGGGGCGGCTCTCGGAGCGGGACCTCATGGCCAAGTACCTGGCCACGCTGGAGCTGCTGGCCCC